GACAACCAGTTGATGACAGTAAAGCACTGTAAAAAGTCTCGCGAGATGTGGCTCAAGCTGGAAAGCACAAATCAGTCGGAGGGGCCGGCTCGCAAGGCCGCGTTGCTCAAAAGTCCGATGATGCAGAAGATGACCAGTGTTCACAACCTGAAGCGAGGAAACTATCGTACCTGTAGCCTAGAATTATCGTACATGGAGTAAAATTGTCGTACTTTTCAAAATAATCACTATAATTAGTAAATTACTCGTATTAATCGTGCAAAAAAAAAAGACAGACCTGAACTACCCCCACCCTTTAAATTAAAAATCAATAATAGATAGAAAAATACTTAAATATAACAAGATATAGGGGGTGGAGGTATGTTAGTGGGGTGTTTTTGACCTTAGGCTATGGTTAGTGACTACATGACTACAATCACAAAATTGTGGATGGGAAGACCATCGACCCATCTGGTGACCAACACGAAGGGATGTTACCTGCCGAGGAAAAACCTACATACTAGCATGATAACGTTCTTTTGTTGCAGGCACGTTCTTCTAAATTTAACACTGCGTATAACAAAAATGTTTATAGCGCTGTGAGCAAAAAGAAAAAAAAATATTCGCGAATAAAAAAAAGTCTTCGTGATATTGTCTGAGAGGGTAAGAATAAAATAAATTTTGAATGCATGAAAATTATCGTACAATCTGCGTACGATAATAATATGATATCGTACATCGTACGTAGACATGAAATTATCGTATGNNNAATACGAATGTGCCTTATTAGGGGTTAATCAGTAACGCTAACTTTCGTCGCGACTTCTAGTCGATGATTTGTGTTTCTAGCGTCAGATATTTTTACGTATTGATTACCTAAGAAACATGGAAATGAAAAATCCACGATAATGATAAGAACACGTTGAGAAATGTAGTAGGAAAGGAACTAACGAGCTCGCACATGTATATTACCAACTAGAACGTAAAATAAATACTATAGTTGAGAAATACGAACACAAACGCTTGTAGAGCCTTTGAAAAGGTGATTCAGAAAACGAAGTCATTAGCGCAATTTTAAGAACATTCTACTTACATATATACGTAACAGCACAGAATAAGTATCAATTATGTTACGCAAATGTACATTTGGGAATCAACATAAATATTTTCGGTACCGAGATGACCTGCTATTGACTTAATGAATTTAATTATTTCATTAGCCAGTGTTCGGAGGATATTGTTTAAAAGTGATCAAGTTATTTTTAAGAAGGATAAAACGATCCTAGCTCCAGCGTGAAAATGTGAAAAATTTGAAATATATAATCGTATAGTAAGATTCCCCAAATAAAATCCAAAACGTAGCAGAGATTATTATCCATCTGTGCAGGCTATAGTTATTATTATTTGTGACCTTTCAAAGGTCAGTTGTATACGGCTATACCGAACCAAGCCTGGAAATATTTGAGCAAGACCAAACCAATACCAAGGCCGAAAAAGCAAGACCAAGAGTAAAACAAGACCGAATAAGGAAGACTAAGACCAAATTTAAGACTGAGACGGGCTGGCATGTTCGGGTTTGGTCTTAGCCTTGGTCTTGCTTATTCGACCTTGGTCTTAGTACTGGTCTTGGATATATGGCCTTGGTCTAAGTCTTGCTATTGCTTATTCGTCATTGGTATTAGTTTTGGTATTGTTTATTCGGCCTTGGTCATAGTCTTGGTCTTGCGCAAATACTTCTAGTCTTAGCCAAGAAAATACTCATAGTAGTTCTTGTGGCATTGTTATTGAATGTGAAATTTAGATTTATCACAATCATCCTGCAGACTTATATATAATTTTCTAAGATAATGAAACTTAATACACAAGAAAATTTAAGGGGAATATTCATGACTATTATACATTCACATTTAGACTTCATAAAGGTACCCTTTCAGGTCCCTCTTTGTAGCATTATTGTAGTTTAATTAGTGAGTATATCTTATGTTTTATCTATGAGAATGTTCGAAAATATTCGATAATTGTTTAGAATGGTCGAAAATGCACTAAATTGTTTTAAAATTTTTGAATGATATGAGTACGAATGTTACTCTCTTGATATTTAACAATCAAATCGTGGGAAAATATTTTTGTACAATATTTATGTAACATAAAAAAATACTGGTAGAAAAAGTAGGGAAAGAGCGAATATAAAGGTAGAGACGAAAACTGATTTTAGGTATCTAGGAAGTCAGGTAAGTCAGGATGGAAGGAGTAATAGGAAATAACGTAGAGGATAGTATAAGGTCGAGTCGCTTTCAATAAAAAAAGTCACTTGTATGCTCGCGATCGGTTAATTGTTAAAGGTGTATGTTTGGAACACGGTCCTCTACGGGTGCGAAACATGGACGGTGGGCGCAGCGGAAAAGAAAAGGTTAGAAGCGTTCGAAATGTGGTGTTACCAGCGAATCATGAGGACATCGTGGATAGAGGAGGTTAGAAATGAAGACGTATTAGAAAGAATAGGAGAACAGAGGTAGGTTGGTAGGACACCCTCTAAGTCATGAAGGTCTCATCAGAGACATATTAGAGGCAGAAACGGGAGGTGGGAGGGGTAGAGGTGTAGACTAGATTAGATTACTGTTCGCAAATAGTTAAGAATGTAGGACGTTCTAGTTTTGGGGAAATGCGAAGACTAACTCAGGATAAGAAAGAGTGAAGGTGCGTATCCAACCAGCCTTATGATGATAACAAGAATACATAACTACAATACGGGGTTACTTTCGGGGCCGTATCAGTCGGGGGCCGATGATGAGTGATCGCTTGCATAACCTTATTAAATCCGGCCTTAGATTAACCACCGTAAAATATAAATTTCGCGGGTCCACATTTGAAAATTTGTGTAAAACACCAGATATTATGAACCATTCCTTCCGATTTAGCATTTTCGTCAAAACAGATGGCACCTTGCCGCACTTTTATACCATACAATTTTAAATTGGTTTGAACCACTCTAATGGACGAAAGTTTGCGTATTCATATTTAAAAATTGGTTAAAAAGAACGCGAAATTATGAATAATTTCTTTCAATTTCGCAAAAATATATATCATACCATTTTATCACCATCCTGCCGTGCTTTTATATCACATAAATTGACATGAACCAATCAAAGGACGAAATTTTGCGCGTCTAAATTTGATAATTGGTCAAAAAGGACTTGAAATTATAATTTTTTTCTTCCATTTCGCAAAAATACATTTATATCAAAACAGATATCACCTTAAAGCACCCTGTTGCGCTTTTATATCTTATAAATTTAAATAACATGAGCCTAATGCTCCATCCTTGATATTCATTTCTTTGTGAGCCCTGTTTATAAGAAAAATGAAAATCAAACTTTAAAATTTCTAAATAACGCATAACTTTACAAGTTTTACAAGAAATACACATAACTGGAATACGGGGCCACCTTAGATCGGCCTTTAGGTATTCACGGTATTAATTAAGCAACACAGACAGTCCAATATTGAATACGAATGTGCCTTATTAGGGGTTAATCAGTAACGCTAACTTTCGTCGCGACTTCTAGTCGATGATTTGTGTTTCTAGCGTCAGATATTTTTACGTATTGATTACCTAAGAAACATGGAAATGAAAAATCCACGATAATGATAAGAACACGTTGAGAAATGTAGTAGGAAAGGAACTAACGAGCTCGCACATGTATATTACCAACTAGAACGTAAAATAAATACTATAGTTGAGAAATACGAACACAAACGCTTGTAGAGCCTTTGAAAAGGTGATTCAGAAAACGAAGTCATTAGCGCAATTTTAAGAACATTCTACTTACATATATACGTAACAGCACAGAATAAGTATCAATTATGTTACGCAAATGTACATTTGGGAATCAACATAAATATTTTCGGTACCGAGATGACCTGCTATTGACTTAATGAATTTAATTATTTCATTAGCCAGTGTTCGGAGGATATTGTTTAAAAGTGATCAAGTTATTTTTAAGAAGGATAAAACGATCCTAGCTCCAGCGTGAAAATGTGAAAAATTTGAAATATATAATCGTATAGTAAGATTCCCCAAATAAAATCCAAAACGTAGCAGAGATTATTATCCATCTGTGCAGGCTATAGTTATTATTATTTGTGACCTTTCAAAGGTCAGTTGTATACGGCTATACCGAACCAAGCCTGGAAATATTTGAGCAAGACCAAACCAATACCAAGGCCGAAAAAGCAAGACCAAGAGTAAAACAAGACCGAATAAGGAAGACTAAGACCAAATTTAAGACTGAGACGGGCTGGCATGTTCGGGTTTGGTCTTAGCCTTGGTCTTGCTTATTCGACCTTGGTCTTAGTACTGGTCTTGGATATATGGCCTTGGTCTAAGTCTTGCTATTGCTTATTCGTCATTGGTATTAGTTTTGGTATTGTTTATTCGGCCTTGGTCATAGTCTTGGTCTTGCGCAAATACTTCTAGTCTTAGCCAAGAAAATACTCATAGTAGTTCTTGTGGCATTGTTATTGAAGGTGAAATTTAGATTTATCACAATCATCCTGCAGTTTAGTGAGAACTAAGGAAATAAATTTTCATCGGCAACGAACTCGACGAGACAACCAATACATTTTTATGCATGAAAGAAAGATAGAGTAGATGTATTTAATAAGTGTCTTGGGGCAATGGTTTATTATCATACTGATCGAGAATACATAGAACGCCCCTCGTATTACATACCCGTACACACATGGGCGCTTTTAGAATTAACTTCGGAGGAGTACAGAAAATAATGGTTTTCATCAATTTCTATAATCAAAACTCACTATACTTAATTTATTAACTCTTGCATTATTTATAATTATCATATTAAATATTAAGTACTGCCCCAGTTACTTTTTAAAAGTTGTTGCTTTGATGACTTGCGGCTGTCTATTACAGATCGTACAAGTCAATTTAATTAGATATCGCTTTAGTAAAGCTTCATTGAAATATTTAAAATAGTATCTGACAATAAATCAAGACTTACTTCGTGTTTCAAGGCCTGTCTTGATTCGTAGCTCTTTTTGGCCAGTTCCACTCGAACCCATTCCGGTTTGTCGGGAATCGCAATGTGAAGCAAGTACCTAATTCCCAAAAGAATGTGTTCCAGGAAAATAAAAGTAAGGATGTACTCCAAATCGGTCTTGTGAGCCATTCGACTGCGAATGTGTGGACTTAAGCAGAGCAAACCACAATTCGTCATTATGGAGAGGCCGCCTATGACTTCAAATGCCCTCTGCAAAAAAAATAAACAATAAAAGGCAATAATCCATAAAACAATAGTCCTTTTCACATTTGTAAAAATTGTTAAAATAATTGCATCAGATAAATAATCGAAGCAAATTTTAGGAGGAAATAAAAGAGAATAAAAGTTAGGAATATCATTTGAAAAGAGGCAAAAGCATGAAGAAGTTTCGCAGTTAATACGATAAATAAGTATAGCAATCCAAATTCACCTCAAAGATTTAAAATATTGATATTTACCTGCCAGGCACCAATATCCTTAACTTTTCTACTTATTGGTCGCTGATGTACAAGACATAATCTGAATGCGTCAGCACGTATTTCAAGAACGTTATTGATAACTGCCCAAAGCGCTGCAGCAGGGTACACAGAGGAAAAGAGAACCACGTATCCGAACTGGATAAACATTTCCAAATAATCATCGTACGTTTCTTCGTAAATTTCCAGTTGCCCTTCTTGTTCCGCTTGATTTAAGCGACTATCGCTGGGATCTATTGCAGGGATTGTTTCGAGAAATTCTCTGGAATAACGAGAATCTTCAAATGCTTTCTGTTTTGATTTTGTTTGCCTTGTATTTTTCCAACCATTTTTCCATTGACTTATCTGTAACGTTGAAGACATAAGAAAATGTATTCGTTTATTGTTACACTCTCAGTAACGCCACTAAGAAGTTATACCAACTACATTCAATATAATTTGAACATTAACAATTATTTTTCGTTTAAATGAATTCTAATAAAGAGAAAAAGTTGAAAAGGGAAAGCAAAAGAGAATAGTAAAGAATGCAAAGTTCATATTATGTAACAGGTCAATTGAAAAGTCCCCGGCCTAAAATAGTAAAACACATTTTTTTTGCAAAATTCGTTTTTTTTATTCAACATAATTCCCTTCAAGGGTGATACACTGATTATAGCGATCCTCCAACTTTTCGATACAATTTTTGTAGTACGATTTGTCCTTTGCTTCCAAATAGGCCTCAGTTTCGGCGATCACCTCTTCATTCGACGAAAATTTTTTCCCAACGAGCATTCTTTTGAGATCTGAGAACAGGAAGTAGTCGCTGGGGGACAGATCTGGAGAATACGGTGGATGCGGAAGCAATTCGAAGCCCAATTCATGAATTTTTGCCATCGTTTTCACTGACTTGTGAGACGGTGCATTGTCTTGGTGAAGCAGGACTTTCTTTTTCTGCAAATGCGGTCGTTTCTCGGCGATTTCGTCCTTCAAACGGTCCAATAACGCTATGTAATAGTCGCTGTTGATGGTCCTTCCTTTTTCAAGGTAGTCAATGAAAATTATTCCACGCGCATCCCAAAATACAGACGCCATAACCTTGCCAGCCGACTGTTGCGTTTTTGCACGCTTTGGAGCGGGTTCATCGTGTGCAGTCCACTCCGATGACTGTCGATTGGACTTCGGAGTGAAATGATGGAGCCATGTTTCATCCATTGTCACATATCGACGCAAAAACTCGGGTTTATTACGCGTGATCATCTTCAAACACTGCTCTGAATCATCAACTCGTCGTTGTTTTTGGTCAAAAGTGAGCTCGCGCGGCACCCACTTTGCACAGAGCTTTCTCATACCCAAATATTCGTGAATGATGTGATGTATACGTTCCGTTGATATCTGTAGAGTGTCTGCTATTTCATTCAATTTCAATTTACGGTCATTCAAAATCATTTTGTGGATTTTTTTAATGTTTTCGTCCGTAACAGCCTCTTTTGGGCGTCCACTGCGTTCACCGTCTTCGGTGCTCATTTCACCACGTCTAAACTTAGCATACCAATCCTTGATGGTTGATTTTCCTGGGGCAGTGTCCGGAAATTCGTTATCAAGCCAAGTTTTTGCTTCAACTGTATTTTTTCCCTTCAAAAAGCAATATTTTATCAACACGCGAAATTCCTTTTTATCCATTTTTTTCACAATAACAAAAGTTGCTTCACTAAAAATGTTATAATTCACAAACTAATGATCCGACAGCCGTCAAATTTATAGACGCGTCTTTTGAACGTTAGGACTAACTGAACATCATATGGATTTAGTTCTGGTGCCGCCATCTATGTGTCAGGCCGGGGACTTTTCAATTGACCGTAGTACTTATGACTAGTAATAAGCAAAAGTTTGACTAAGGTCAAAACAATGATGGTCTGAGCAATACGTTTTCGTGATTAACTTATAATGAAAGAATTGCAGTGAAAATTTTTAAAAAGCCTAAGTCACTGTTAGATTTAGAAAGTAGAAATTTGTTGAGATATCTATATGGACAAAGAATGTATTTGTGAATAAGAATTTACAAACGCATCGTTTTGTTTTCAGTTTCTTTTATTTGATGGTGAATTTACAAAATGCATTTAATCTAATAATGTTAGGAAAGCAGTAGGTAGAGGTTTCTTTAATAGATGTACACTTTCTGAAATTATGCACCTTTTATATGAACCTCCCTGAGAAGCCCCTGTAGGTAACTGGCTACAGTATACCATAAGTTATGTCAACAGCCCCTAATAGAATTTACCGGTCCTATTAGAATCTTCCAAAAATGTTTTTGACTTACCTTTGCAAATCCAACGTTTATTAATAATGGAAGTACAGCTTCTTGCATATGATTAATCGCTTGCAGAATAATCAACATGGTTGCCACTTGACTCCTTAACATTTCCATATCTTGGATTATGAATGCGATATAAAACAGCGACATGAAATTATTTACAAACTCAAACAGAATCAGTTTCGTGACCCGGTGTCTGTCAAACTGCGATTGGGTTCTATGATTTTCTAAAATGAAACTGCTTTAATTAAGCAATTCGAATAAACAGAAAACTTACTTAAATACCCCATTCTGTGAGAAAAGTAGCCAATTTACGATAATAGCAATTCATTACGTAGACCAATGCGGTATACAGCACACTTGGAAGTAATAGGAGATCTTGAGACCAAGTTTCCGGATTGTATTTGATTTGGTCTTCCATCCAAAACGATATCAACATTATTATGTAAGCACCTACTAGGCAGGCAATAACAATGGGAAAAGACACGCAGTACATCTAAAAATGTTTCTATCTTAGATCGAAATAATGATGATTCTCATACTACGTTGTGTAACGTACTTTTAAGTAAGTTTTATATCTGGGATACTGAGGACAGAGCTTGCCTGTTATAGGATCTTTGCCCATCTGTCCACGAAAATTTGCTCTTGGTTCACCTAAACTGGTCATTCCTATCGTACCCCATTTGTAAGCCAATTCGTTCGATTTTCTTCTCCACATCTGAATAAATAATTCGAACATTACATCAATTTTTGATCAGTGACGGGTCAACGGAGGGGTGTTCGGGATCAGAAAAACCGAAATTCGTCACTTATTTACGGATCTTTTGGGAGAATTTATCAATCGTCATAGTGATATGTCTTATTTATGACATCTATTTTAAAATTACTACAAAAAATCGTTATGAAAATAACAAATGTTGATCCATTCAGAGAAAAAAGGACAGCAGTTTTTGTGGATCCCCTTCTTCTTAAAATCCTGGATTCGTCCTTGTTCCTACATATGTAAAATTAGATGTTAATTCCGTTAATCCGTTGAAAATATATGTGGCTACACCGAAACAGTTGGTAATTGGTGGCTGATTAAATTTTACTTCATTTTTTAGTTTTATTTCATAATTATCATATTGATACGACACTGAGATGGTTTGCTTATAATTTATTTCAAATATTCAATGTTTAACTTATACGATTAATTAAATGACATTCGTAGGTTGAATTATTGTATTTTGTTATCCCTAGACAAAAATTTTTAGTCCCTCTTAGTCTTTCTGAGTCTTTCAGCGTCTCTGAGTGCGTTTCGAACAGTCTTTCACAGTCTCTCAGTTATTGCCTAGGTGTTTTTATGGAACTCTCACAGTCTCTGCATGAGAGACTCGAACGATAAAATTGTTAATTCAGAGATTCGAGTCTCTCGTTCAGAGACGCTAAACAGTTTTTTTGACAGTCTCTCGACA